GCGGGCAGCGCCCTGCCAGCGCCGGGCTGAGCGAGGAGCAGCGGCAGGCGGTGGAGGCCATCGAGGTCGACTGCTACAACAGCCTGGCAGGTCAGCGGGCACCCCCGGCCGCGCACCCCCCCTCCCCTCTCCTCCCGCAGCGCCTTCCAGCTGCCCCCGAGCCCGGCGGCAGGGCCCGGCGGCGCCCCCCGGCCCTCCCCTTCCCTTTCCAGCCCTTCCCGGGGGCTTCCCCGCAGCCCCCGGTCCCCTCGGCACGGCAGGGGCTGGCAGCGGCAGCGGGTGGTGCCGGCACCGCAAGGTGCTCCCGGCCTCCCGGCTGCAAAAGTTGCCAGCGGCCGGGGCGCTGCATCTTGGCAGGGGTTATTTTGGGTCCCAAGCGGTGTGGTTTTTTGTTTTCTTTTTTTTCTTTCCGAGCCCGAACGCAGCTCCGAAACAAAAACTTGTGCCTGCGTACGTAGAGGGTAAGGAGGGTTGTAACCTGGAGCAGGTGCACAAAATGCCACGTTAACGCGGCTCTGCTGCTTTGCACAAGGATGAAGGGTCACTCGCTTCCCTCGGGGGGGAAGTGGCAAAAATCAGGGCGCTGGTGTGTCAGCTGTCACCATCGCTTGGCTTTTGGCTTTCGAGACACTTGGCTGGCTTTGCTTCCTGCTGTCTAGGGCTAAAAAGGATGCAGCATAAAGCAAATGGGGTTTGAAGCGCCAAGCCAGGATCTTCCCTTGGCTTAATCCATGCCAATCTCAATGTGGCTTTTGGGATGTAATGGAAGGCACGATTTTATCACGTTTTCAACTGTTCTTCCTTCAGAAGCCTGTCGAAATCCTGAGTAGGGAGAGGCAGGCGAGATCCCCGAGTGATAGCATAATTGCACAGCTGTAATTTCGTCTCTCTCAAAATTTCTGTTCGCAGGTTTATTAAAATCCATTGTATCTGGCAAGGCTCATTTAGGTTGGCAGGGTTATACAAAGAGCCCGCAATACTATGAACATTACCGCGTAGAGTGGTGCTGGGCTTGCACAAGTACTCGCAGGAAACGTCTCCGCCAGCCCCCGGTGCGGAGGTACAAATGGGACGTGGTAGAAGGTAAATGAGGAGGGAGGGAGGGATGGGCTGTGCTGCCGTGGCTCTTCCTGCTGCGTACACAAGTTCCACTTGCTGGAAATGTTTACACCCGTGGGGACAGAGCTGTCCTGCAGAATGGCCGCTGTCCACCGCGTTTATTTACTGCTGCTGCTTTGAGCAGGGAGCTTTTTTCGCTGTTGATTTGATCTTGTCGGCAGTAGCAGTCAGACAGCGTGAGAAACCTGCTCCATCTTCAACCTAGATGCGAACAGATTTTACCTAAATTTAACTGGTGTGAACACAAGAGGAGATGAATGTGATTAACCCTGGAGAGGCGAGCAGTGCTTCTCCTGAGATAACCTCAGAGCGGGTCAGGGTGTCGTTCTGCACTCAGCTGTGTGTTTTTGGTAGATGGGCAGGCACAGAGCGGAGAACAGGATTGGTCTTGGAAACGTTTAGTTTTGTGTGTGTCTGCTGCTCTGTCTGCAAGCAATGTTAAAGCAATGCCCTGCTTGCTGAAGAAGGGAGCGTGCAGTTAAACAAACCGCAGCGTTGCTCCTCCTAGCCCAGCTCCAGAGCCCCCATTCTAGCAGGAGGATCCGTGAATTAGCATCTGAAGGAGAGGAAAGCGATGGGAGGGAGCTTCTCCACAACTGTCACAATAATTAGTACGCCTTTCTAATAGGAACTTCAAGGGGTGCAGCAGTGAGACTATTTTGTAACAGCGTGGTGCAGCAGAAGCCACCAGCTTCTCTACACGGTGGGCTCTAGCGCAGGCACCAGTGCCTGTTGTGGCAGCAGAAGTCAGCAGTATTTGGCTGGGGAAGAGAGGAGATGCAGGGCGTTTCGCTTCCGAGCACTGACTGGATGCCTAGAGCTGTCTTTAAAATAAATAAATCTGCATTGCCTAGTGCAGAGAGCATAACAGCCGTGCATGTTAATTCTAGAGAAGGCAGTTTTTCACTGAGCTCTGATTTATACCCGATAGCATGAGCAGCTGTCATCTGAGTGTCCTTATTACCAAGTTCTTTTAGCACCTCCGCGTACTGCCTGAGCTTAGCATTTAGGAAGCCCACCTTGGCTTTGCACTGCCGTTTTCACGTGGCTGCCACACACGCACCTGTCAGAGGTGTTTCACATTGCAAAGATAGAAGCATGCACACAGTTACTTATTTAGATCCAGCCAGAGGAGCTCATCAACTCTAGTTAGCCGTGCACTTAGGCAAATAAGCAGGTAGGAAATACACACCCAAAGGGGATCTGGGGCAGCCTTACAGGTGAGGACTGTGCACACACTGAGTACAACCGGGGTTCATTTTTGTTTTAATCTGACCGATTACATGAGTAAGAACGTGTGGACAAACACAGATCTGCTGTCAGTACATTTACCACTTTGCAGAATGTAAATTACAGTGCAGGTTGTTTTTTAGTTCTGCTTCTTCTGTGGAGCACCTTCAGCAGGCAGTTCTCATACCACAAAGCAGGGTGGCTGACCCTTGTATTTACTCAGAGCCCCGCAATATTCGGTGTATTTTCTAAAGTGAACTGTGTGGCACCCCCATGACCTAAACTATCCTTAGCCCATTGCAAAGGATTCTAGAACATGCTGGTTTTAAAATTCTTGTGATTTTTTTTTTTGTATATATATATTTTAAATCGGCCAAGGATTTTCACCGCTTGCCACTGGCAGTGTCGCTCACATTTTTTTCGCTAAGCCACTAGCAGGGCTGCCGTGTAAGCTCCACGAGTTTTGCCTTAAAGGCACTCACCCTCACATCTGCAAAATCCAGCACTGCTATGTTCTTGCACAGGCGCGCCAATAGCCCTTCGTTTTGCCATTTTTGCCGTAAGTCCCTTTGACAAATGTCACCAGATGCAAGGGCAGCAGCGTGGCCTGGGCCCCCAGAAATTGCTGGGGCGGGCAGAGAAAAATCCTACCAGCAGCACAGAGCCTCGCAGAATGAATGCAGGGCTGTGAGGCAAACAGTCACTTCTTTATGACTCACTGACGGGCTCTGACCTTGAGGAAGTCACTTGACCTCCTTTTGCCTCTCTCAGCCCAATTGAAAAATAAAGAACAGGAACCATGAGCCGATCCCGATGGTGCATTCAACCGAGTTTTCCCAAGTCAGTGGTTTGTATTCTTTGAAAATAAAGATGAACGTAGGAACAATGCCTGCAGAAAAACAAGCTGGCCAAATACCACTCATGTCTTAGTCTCCTTTCCACTCATGTAACATCTTGGATCTAGATGAAGCTCAAATGCCTTACGAACTGCAAGCAGGTAGGGATCATCCACCTGCTACTAACGCAACCACTACCCTCATTAAATGCAATCATCATTTTATTCCAGCATTACTGCCTAAAAGTTTACAGGATCAAAAGGACTGTGCCTGCTCTGCAGAGAGAAGCAAGTCCTGGTCCTTCCAAAGCAGCAAAATGCCAAGGGTAAGCAGAGTTTCAAGCCTTTTTTTTTTTTTTTTTATGAGGGAATGTTGCAGTGCGATAAGCAAACCTTTGTCAGTTTTCCTAAGCACGCAGAAATAGTAGAGCTAATCCTGGCAGGCAAAACAGAACCGGAGACAGAACTGGGGACGAGGAGTGATGCTGGGAGATAGAGATTTTTCATCCTGCCTCTCTGTGCTGACTAACTGTATTATCTTCACCAAATCTTTCATTCTTTGAACCTCAGTTTATTCGTCTGCATTTCTGACCTCTTGGGAGTGCTGGAAGGCTTTGTTAATTACACAAATGTCAATTAAACGCAACACGTTTATATCCCCATTCAGACACGTGCAGTTTTGTACCTTGGCAGGAGGGCACACGTACCTGCAGAGCCTTACAAAGCGTAGCTGTCCGTGGTAGATCTCAGCCTAAGCAGCACAGGTTGGCCTCGTGCCATGGCAGAAGTTCACGACTACGCAAAGGTCACAGCCACAGCCCCACCAAACGCAGCACTCCAGCTTGCTAGCACCCTCGGGCTCTGGATGGGGTTGTAGGTACTGCTCCCAACAGTCACCGGTTGTACAGACTTCAGTGAGTAGTTCCACTGAGACAAGGAGCCTTAATCCAAGTGAAAATATGACTAAATAGCAGAAAAGCTGCTAAAACTCGTCTCTGCTGACCACCCACTAGGACTCCTCAAAAGGAGTTTCTAAAATCCCATCCCAGTATATAGCAGTTAACAAGTACACACTCTACCAGGGCACATGGTGCTGTGGGTGTTAAAGCAGGCTTGGATTGTTGCTTGATGTGAAGTTGTTTTTTTATGTGCTGCATCAACAAAAAACACGCTCTATAAGGCTGCCATGCAATGGGAAAGAGAGACAGCAGCAGATGACAGCAGGACGGGGCCTGTGTTTTCACTAGCTGAGGTGGGAGCTTCCTGACACTCCTGTTTTAGATGCATCTGCCCAGCCACAGTGCATGGGAATGTTTTACAGGCCTGATGCTCCATGAACGTGCAGTTGCAGCAGAGAGTGAATGCAGGTGACCAAAGCATTTTAGCAGTAGGCCCAATCCTCATTCGCATCACCACTGCAATGAATTAGTCTGTAAAATACTCTGTATTTGCCTGTTCCCTTTTATTTTGGAGGACAAAGTTCATCAGCTGGAGAAGAAAGCTCATCACGGGAGGTGAAGCAGGAAGTATGAAAAATCAGAAAGCTTTTTCAAGAACACAGAGTAGTGGTTAATCTGTTTACCTAAAGAGTATTGATTGTTCTCCGCCTTGAGATTTGCACTGGTGTGTTTTCTGAGAGGTCTGTAGTAGCACCTCCTGCCAGCTTTACTCCATCCCCTTCTGATCTGCTGTCCTGGAGTTCCCTCCAAGTAGAGTCCCACAATGTTTCACAGCCTCTTACACCTCCCCATGTTCCCATCAGTGCTGTGCTGGAGATGGTTCAGGTGCTTCAATAAAGCCTTGTGTGACAATCGCAGCTGGTTCCCCATCTATTGCTAAATACACCCATGAGCCCCATGGTTACCTTTTTTCTTTTTTTTTTCCTGTGAGCTGTGCCACCTTTCCATGGTTCAGCAGGTGGAGCATCCTTCTCTTCCTCCTGTTCACTTGGGCTCAGACCCAGAAGTTTCTAACCTGACTCCAGCCCTGCTTCTCCAGCCTTTCTCCTAGAGCTGCCTAACAACTCGGCAGCGCATCCCTGGTTTCCCCTCAGTGTCCTGTGAGAAGTGGGATTGATGCTGCAAGTATGGAAGGTCATCAGAAGATTTCACATTGGGATTTTAGATCTATTGCACACCCAGTAAAGGAGATTGGTGTAAAGAATGAAACAGCAAAATAAAAGGGTATAAATAAAAGGGGAGGTCTAAACGTTGCCAGATCCTGGTTTCTTCCTGACATCGTGCCACCTTACAGAAAATAGCATGACAGAGTATGAAACTGAGGAAACAATTAAGATAGGGAGGAACTACATAATGAGGTTTTGAGGAAATTTACTGGCTTTTTTTTTTTTCCTTCTGTCTTCTCTCACTTCATGGGTAAGAAACTGATGTAGAAGGAAGACAACTGTTTATTAGTCTTGATTTCAGCTTACTCAGGTAACCATGCCAGTGACTAATACTGAGGGTTAAGAATGTTTTGAAGAAGTCACTGCGAACCATCATTAACCAGGAAGCTGTTACTCACGGCTGCTCAGGAATCGGTCTCCTTTTGTTCATTCCTGCTCTGCATCTTGGATGGGAAACAGTAAACATAAGACATTGATAGATGAATGCAGGTAAATCCTCTTGTGGTGGCTCAGAGTGTTACTGCTCCTCTTTCTTTAACCACGACTGTAGAGTTGGTGTGGTTTCTGGGCGCCTGGCTGGAATTGCTGGCGGTACCTTCAGCTGGGGCACGCTCAAGTTGTGTGAGGCTGGGAGGTGTCAGGAAGGCCCCGTGGCTGGCCCCGTTCTTGTACACTTACTTGCCTTGGTGGCCACTTGGCAGCCGTGTAAGCTGGGGTCACATCTCGCTACAGCCATTCTGAGCTTAGGACCGTGCTGGAAACCATACTAGGACAATTCGTGGAGCGAATTCGGCGCAGTCACGTTTTCTCTCTGCAGTAACCCATGGCAGAAGGGCCAGCTGGGAGCGATGATTTTATCTGTCATAGTTTGATGTGCCAGAGCTCATCTGTTACTGTCCATAGGCAATAGCTAATGTCACGATCTTTACTTCAAAATGCACTCTGCTCTCCCCACTCTCCAAAATTCTTGACACGCCGTCACCCCGAGGCTCATCGGCTGCACAGCACCATCTGCTTCTCCTTGGCTTTGTCCTGTGAACCCAGTTCCCCCATCGCGTTTCTCAGCTCAGGAGCCGGGGCTGCTTACGCACTCAGTGCCTTTTCTGCTCGAGTTCCTCTGCTGGCTCCCCCAGTTGCACTGCAGCTGTGGCAGACTTTCTGACCTCCCAGGCAGAGTTGTGGCCCTTTGCAGGCCCCGTCTGTTCTGCCAGCATTGCCCTCTCATCCCCCGTGTCCTCAGGCTCTGCCCCACAGCATCTCGGTGCATCTGATTCATCGGAGCTGATTTTATTACCTGTTGTATATCAGTTCAGGCTGGACCTTTTCTCCTCCCTGGCTCTCCTTAGGACCCATCTGTGCTGTGACACCCTCTCTAGCACATCCATTTTTGACGGGTAAAACTTTTGCCTTACCAAAGCACATACTTCCCTAGCCACTGCTCAGTCTTCCCGATCCCGCTTTAGTGGGAGCACTGGCTGTTGCGTCTCATTGCTGCCAGTTTAGGGGGCTGTCACGCAGATTGTTCTGCATCAGCAGCAGCAGCACCTCCTTTCAGATCGGAGTGGCAGGCAGCAAAACTCCGCTAATCTAGCCGTCGATCTGGTTTCCTAGGAGCTGCTGGAAAGGAGCAGCTGGGTCAGCCAGCAAGCAGCCACCAAACTCGTTTTCCTCAAATTTTGATTCCAAATCTCCTCTGATGCCCTGATTACAGCTGTCAGTCTTCATGCTTCTGGTGTTAGCCTGGCCCGGCAACATCAGGGACTAAATGGCTCGTTTCATACTCGAGGAAACTCAAGTGAGGTTTCTACCTTGCTGCAAGTCTCCTTGCTCTGTAAAGCAGGAGCGTTGGGGGCCCTCTTGGTAGAACCTCATCACGCAGCGGTGGAGATTCGCCGCCCATCTTACAGATCTGTGAGGCTCAGCCTAACTTGCATAGACTGATCTCAGGTCAGCCCAGCTGGATACTGCTTACCCTAGATCTTTTCCAACTCGAAAGACTTCACTCCCAACTCCAGGCAGCAGAATTGTTTACTGCTACCTGAAGCAGATGGAGGGAGAATAGAAGACATGCACTAGTGTATCTTTGTCCTGCACACTCCCCAGTGTGGTGTGTGGGAGAACAAACTTACTCCTGAAAGCAAATTAAAAGCAGAGGAGGTGTCTGGGACTTGAAAATTTATGTGAGACCCTTAGCACTTCCTTTGGCTATTCCTGGGCTGCTGTGACTAACCAACTTGTACCTCCAGCGTGCAGTGCCATCCCTGCAGTCACCATCTAACCCACCAATTCACCCCCTATGAACAGCATCTTTATGATGTAAAGAACAATCTTTCAATCAACTGCAGGGAAGAAGCTGTGAGAATTCATATTGTTTTGCCCCACTCCTGCTCCCAGAGGGGGGGGGAAGGTCAAAGACCTACATTTCTTCCACTCTTTCAGAAAACAGGTGGGCTCCACACAATAGCCGTAGCCTCTCCCAAACAGGTGCTACCTGTGGAGGCCATCAGTTAACCTTGCAAAAGCAGAACCATGAGGGAAGGAGTCTGTTATTCCTGGATGATCGTTGTAAATCAGCACTCGCTATTGCTCTGCAATAGCACCTTTTTTTCCCCACTCATATTTCTAAAAAACAAAACAAAAAAAAAGAGCTCCTGCCCCATGCCACTAGGAATGATTCTCAGACAGCATGGTGCAAATAAAGCCTCAGCGCTCTCTTCAGTCACCATATGTTTTAATACCAGCATAATTCAAATCCTAGATTACTAGCCTCTTAAATGATTTGCAGTGATTAATTGCTCAAGATGCAGTAGTGCATTCATGTTGCAAAGAAACCAGAGCAGCACAAGATCCTTACCTATGCTGCACGGACAAAGTAAATACGCTCACTTTCCTTTGTATGTTCTCTAACAACTGTGATGGAGCTCAAACTGAGGCAGCTCAGGAGCTTTGCTTATGGGGTGGAGGGTAAATTAAATTAGTAGATGAATACAAAATAATTTTTAAAACCCAGGGCTGATTAACTTGGAGCGCAGTGCCAGAAGGTATCATGGAGTTAAAGACCCTAATAAGGTTAGAAAAGAAGGCTTAGACACATAACTAATCAGCACATTCACTGCTATATTAGATAGGATAAAAACTGTAAAGCAAATATTACATTTTCATGCTTGAGAACCACTGCTAACTGGTTTGGATTTATGAATAAACTTCTCAGAGATTTTAATTTCCCTGTCCATGGCCATGTCACATAAATGACTCAGTCATCCTGTGACCAACTAGCATATTCAGATCCTTTTCCTCTTTGGCTATTTCCAGCTCATGAGCTCACAAATTCTAGCAGAAATCCTTGCTTTAAATCCCAAAGAGTATGATTGTAAGTTTTGTGTTACTGATCTCCATCCCAAATGAATTTAACACTGTCCACCAGGTGATGTAGCTCTTTTTATGACATTGCCATCCTTATCCTTTTTGAGGATACCTTCCAACTTCACAGTGTCAGTAGGTGCTCTTTCTTTTACATCAGGGCAATTAACAGAAGCATTAGACAAGTTCAATTCTGAAATTAATTCCTGCAGCATTCTTCTAGTGGTCTCTAACTGATACGTCTCTCAGCAGAACCCACTACAAATTCTTTAGCCATCACGTCATTCTTAGTATATCTTCATATCCTCTAGCTTAATTGAAAAGGCACAGTCTAGACAAGGAGCTGCATCATTGGCCTGATCCATTACAATGATTCTCGTGCTCCTGGTCTGAAAACAAGCTCCTTACCTGGGGTGTTACCTGGGGTAGAGGTTCCCCTCCATATTCTTCAAATCAGACACACTGTCCTACCTCCTCCTTCCACTGCCAGCAGCACACTGCACTGATCTGGTTTATGGAAGGGTTGGGAACGATCTGAATGAACTTAACCTGAAGCACTTTGCCACAGCTTGTATTAAAGAGCAGTTATCTTATTAGAGGACCAGCTTAAGCTCCTGCACATTTCAAACCCAGGCCTTCTCAAGCAAGTAATACACTGAATCATTACTCAGGTCTTAAGTTTATTCGTTTTCAGCCTGATTTCCAAAGGAAATGAGTCATAAGCAAGTATGTTTTCTGTAGTCAGCCCATCAGTCCACTCTGGGTAACTTTCAAACCTGTTGACTAGCTGGATTTGATGGAGAGGCAGATGTCTCAAAGGTACCAAGTTCATCCGGTCTAACCAGAGGGCAGGGAAGAGGCAAGGACACCAGAAGCCCAGCCACACAAGAGGGAAAAGCTTAAGCCCAGTTTGCATTGGCAATCAGAGCTCAGCCAGGTGACACAGCCTGACACAGCCAGGGTCAGTCAGCTCTGTGGCTGAAAAGTCACTCTTCTCTAGTACATTTTTAATGCAAACAGTGTTTTGAGAGCTCTGATTAATACCTCTCACTCTTCAGTTAGTTAGAAAACAGTGACTTTGGCATCCTCTGCCTCTGATTCTGCCTGTTCTCGTTCTCTCCATCTCTCCCTCAGAGGCCATAAAGGCTGCTTTCTGTTTCAAAACATCATTAAAATGGAAGGGCTTTGGGCTATGCAGGACCTGGATAAAACACCTGATAGGGTTATTATTGTAATGAAGGAAATGTTCCTCCCTGCTCAGCCTCTCCCCTTCTTGCCAGTAAGAGTCTTCAACTAGGGAGAGCTGAGGAAAAGAAATACAAAAACCATTTCAGTCCCTATCAATTATACATGGGATGAGGACACGAGGCAGTGCCCTCAGCCAGCTCCCCACCCCGTAGCAGACTCTGCAGCTGTCAGCTCTTCCACGTGTCCCGGGAGGCGAGCTGTGGCTCAGCACCGCGGGGCACAGCACACAGATGTTAGGCAGCCACGTCAGCCGGCCCTGCCGTGGCACAGGATAAAGCAGTAGCTTTCATCCCAAACCGAGCACGCTGCAGTAAGCCAGGCTGGAGGCAATCGTGGCATGCACGACCGTCAGTGACTTCATCCGAGAGCCTCCATGCTGCTCCAGCCGCATTTCACGCTCCCACTGTCAGTTGTTTATTTGGTGAGCCCCCAAGCAGAGGCTTCACCCCTCAGCAAAGAAGCAGCTTGAGATCCAGCTCTTCCTCCAGAGCTTCTCCCTGCTCACAGAAATACCTTCCTGGTCGCAGACAGGGTTACAAAAGCCACCTTTCCACTAAGACCCAAATTTCACTGCATAGCATCTGATATTACTGATCTCTGAGACAGTTGTGCGTGCTTTTCCCCCATGCAAATGACCCAAGAGACCAGATTCCTCCTATGGTGGGTGTCGATAGCAACAGAAGGCCAGAGGAGGAAAGATCTGACATGGAGAGGGCACAGCAGTGTGAGGGCAAAGCAATGCAAGGTGAAAGGCACAACAAAAGCAAACAGCAAGGAAGGGGCGGTGGAATAAATAGCACCTGCAGCAGCAGATCTGAAGGTCAGACATCTAAAGGCACATTGACTGGACCAGGCTGGGCCAGTTGAGTACTGATTCTAAAAGATAAAGGCAGGTCAAAGACCACTAGATAAGTACAAAGTCAGAGCGGAGAAAACCCTCAGGGGATTTAACCTGGCAGATCCACAACAACAGCCTTGGCAAAAACAAGCGGGACGGATTCCCAGGTCCCCTAACGCGGCTGCAGGAGGAGCAAGCATTTGTGGAGGTTGCAGAATCAAAACGATCCAGGCATTAAAAGCTGACCGAAGCTCTTGTTCCACCACTGGTTTGCTAGGACTTTGCTCCTACGTCTCCTGGCTGGGAAAATCAAAGGCATGGAGATCAGAAGGTGCGATATGGAGATCTCTTTATTTTAGTTGAATAAAGATTTGCTGATCCACAGCTGAGCATGGATTCTAGTTTCAGAAAACACTTCTTGTTTGCTTGACATCTAGCCTTCTAATACTTTAATTTTACCATTGCTAAGAATTTTCAGTAAGCCTCTTGTTTTAATTTGAAGAACTGCAGGAACTAGGAGCTCAAAATACTCTTTTAAAACAGAAGTTATGATGATCAGATGAAAAATTGTCTGCAGGTCTTTGCTTCCCAAAGGTTTGTCCCTTTGAAGGAAAACTTCAGTGTTATATCACTGGATTTGCAACCAAAAGAAGCATAAATCACCACTAATTTGCCTTAAAGTAGCTTAGGAATCATTTAGAAATAATGAACACTCCTAAAGAACTGCACTCTAGAAAATTAGAAAAGAGTGAGATATGAGAACATAAACACAGCAAAGGCAGGAATCATTCATGCTTGCTGTTACTTAAGTGCTTATGTATTCAAATGCCTAGCCCGGGGGATGTCAGAGCAACGTCCTTCCACAGGACCTTCTGACAGGAATTTGCAGTAAATGGTGGCTCTCAGGGAGAACCAAGGACCGTTCCTCTCCCAGGTGTTAGAGCACAATCAGTAAGGGGACTGCAGAGCTGGACAGGAATTCAGGAGTCTTCTATCCATACCACTGCATGGTACAAGGGTACAGATAACATATATCCCAGGTAGCATTTATTCAGGCTGTCTTACACACTTCCAAAGCTAGGATCCTCCGCAACTTCCCCAAAGAGTCTACAATGCTTCTGCCTTGTCACTATGAGAAAGTTCTTCCTAGTAAGATTCTTCCCTGCTGAAGTTTAAGCCCTCTTCTGGTTTCCCCGAGCACAAGAACAGGTTGCATTCTGGTTATGCCCTACTTTGCATGACAGGGTTTTTACTTTTCTACATATGTGAACACTGTAAGCCTGCCTTCCCTCCCTGTCTTCTTCAGGGCTTACAGTCTGTGTTCTCCATTCTGCTTGTTATTGTCAGGGTCCTCCTGACATCCATCCACATTTTCTTTCAAGACTGGTATCCAAAAATCAGACATAGTATTCACACTTCTCGCAGATTTCTTGTCATACATGCTAGTGTGCATTTTCCTTCATTAACCAGATAGCCTTGCTAACTTGATCTGGTGATCTACACTGCAACGCAGATCATCTTCTGCAGAATTATTTCAGCCAACCATTCCTGCTCTCTATCAGTGGTTGGTTTTTGTTCATTTGTTTCCTGCCTAATTTCAGTACCTTTCGCTTGCCCCTGCCAGATCACATCCTGTTTTTGTCAGGACACTGCTCTGGTCCGTGAGGACCCCTTGGAATTGCAGCCCTGCCTTCCAACATATCCCAGCTGCTCCCTACATCTTGGTGTTACCTGCCAATGGACAGGCAGCTCACAGTCAGTCATTGAGGTCTTTATTGAGGACGCTAAATACCATGGGACCTAGGACAGATCAGTGCAGAACCCCACTTAATATTGCCTTCTGCTTTGATAACAGAGTTAAGCCTATTCATTTAAACTGTTCTCCCTCAATTTGCTTAAGAAAATGTCACTAGAATTTGTCATTTGACTAGTGTAAAAGCCAAGATATGTAATGTCTACTGTTTCACCTTTATCTTCAAGATTGATCGCCCTATCAGTCTAAAATTAAACTGATTTGTTTTGACAGCTCACATTATCTGTTAGGTATCTCCTTGTTGTCAGCCCTGTGCTCTCCAAGCCTCTAAAGGGGTGGCAATAGGAAGGGTCCCAGGGTGGGCTGCCAGCCACAAAAGGCCTCACAGAGGCTTAGCAGCTCCCCTAAGCTGCTAGATGCCTCTTAACATGCATGGTGGTGGAAGCATCAGCATAGTCACTACACCAGTGTCTCTGTTGTAGAAATCAGGATTTGTGCTGTGAAGTCCGGGTCTTTTTCCTAGAAGAGGTGTGAAGGACAGGGGCAGCAGAGAACTGAAGGAGACCACACTGTATTGAAAGGAAAGCATGGCCAAGACGGCAGAAAGGGGAGGAAAGGTTGGCATCTGTCCATGAATTGGGAGTCAGGCTGAGAAGAATGGGAAGGCAGCTTGGAAAAGGTGACACCTTGGGTTCTCCAAACATTTGTGGATCCACACCTCATTTAGCATTAATCCCTCCCTACAGAGAGGGGCAGCCTGTCATACAGTTTAGTTTTTAATTTTCCACACATTTCCCTGCAAGCAGAAACATACGGGCATATTTAGGTCTTTCTGGTACCTGGAGAGGAATAAATGAGGGCCGCTGACTGTAAAGTTGTGCTGTCATTCTGATATTCCCTTTTCATCCCATTAAGGTTGTCCGGGAACTGGGAGTCAGCTGATCAGATTATTGCCAGACATTATCAAGCTGTCTATAATTAGCTTCTTATTGGTGAGAAGCCAGAAAATCCTCTTTGTTTGCAAGCTTGGACTATAGAGAAAAGAGAAATATTTCATGGAAGAGATTGTTTGGAAACTGCAGATCCTAATTAGTGTCTCAGCCCTGTAGTGAAACTGTACATGGCATTTCTCTGAAAAAAAGATGCTTCCAAAAACCCTCTTTGGAGGGACACTGGGTTGCATTCTTGAAAGGCACAGCCCACAGTGGGCTCAGTGCAGATGTGGATGGTTTACAACCTGTTCTGTTCCTTGGTTTAGGCTTCTTGCATTCCCTCACATGATACAGCTCCTGTCAGTGCCAATTAGGGAAATTTAACACAGGCTAAAAACTGTGCTGTGCCATCCACTTCACCTGTGCAGTCTGCACCCTCTAGATCAGTAACTTCAACATCAGAGAAATTTGGATTGAAGTATTCCAATAGTCCACATCTTCTTATGCTGTACATGAAAATTCAAGTAGTTTAATTCCAAGGTGACTTTCAATCTCATGTAAACCTTTACATCCTCAGCATCATCTTATGACGGATATGTTACCTGATATTAGAAGTTAATTATAATCTAAATTACTAACAGAGGGCTGAAATTTCCAATGTCATTTAGTAACGGTATCCCCTTTAATTCTGCCAGTGGACACCATATACTCCACATGCTTTTATAAACACCAGTTACAGAGACTGCAGCACGCAGATTAATGGTACATCCATCAGGGGCATGATTAGAAGACTGCTGTCTATTCCAAAGAGAACCTTGTTTTTAAGAAAAAAAATCCCTGTTTTTTTTTAGTTAGGTCCTAACAATTTTTCTTCCCAAATACTTAAACCAAGATTTATTGCTAGCATGTTTTTTCTTCTGAGAAAGAGCATCACTATAAAGGATGCCAAGCCTTCTGAAATAAAAGAAGTATTATGAGACTCTCGTAGTCTGCCCTATTATTTTGAGTCCTAAAGAAGTAAGAGGACGAAGCCTGCTCAATGATACATCAAGGTCTTAATCATATGTCTGAATAAAACCCTGAAGTAGTTATATCAAAGCATCAATCATGTGTTTTCCAAAATAGAACTAGAACAAGAATATGTTCCATCTTCCTGTGATTTAAACAGATTTTAAGTGAGCTGTTGGCTGCTATACTTGGGGTGAGATCATATCAGAAAGCAAAGTATTTTGCAGAGTTTAATCATGGCTATTTCTGGGAATGACACTGTCAGTTTGTGAAATACACGTCGAGTTCATAGTGGTTGGAGTACCTAGCACTCGTTAAGGAGTAATAATCCACACATAAGCTGTTAAACACCAATGTTAGAATCAAAAATAAATACATCAGGTTTGAACAGCAATGGGTTTAACTACTACTCCTTGCTGCTTTGAAACCAACCAAATCAATACAAGTTGGGATTTGGGTGTGTTTTTTTCTTTGTTTGTTTGTTTTCCTGAACCAGTGGCTATCATAGAACAGTCATTTATCCTGTTCACTTCACGGTAAACTCTTCAAAGTAGGTTAAATGCACTCACATTTTTTTGAAATACAGATCTAGTATTCCCTAGATTTTCATTTTAAGGAGTGGAAAACAAAGATCATTTGGATTCAGGCTCTTGCCTGGGCATATGAGTGGTTCAACCACAAGACCTACTATTAGCTCTTGCACAGGACACCTGTTCCAGACTCCAGGGGATATTGGCAAAGGCCAGCTTCAGGCACTGCAGATCAGTGTCCCTCAGTTTCGTATAATCAACAGAGAAAGAACTCTGAGCAGGAGTGTAAGGGTGGGTAAGTCATTTCCTAGAGGAGCTGCTGTCATGCACACCTAGTGAGACTACTCTCCTGTGCTTGAATTTCACTGTTAGAAATGCCGCTCCTGCTCCTCAGGCTGGCTGCCCTGCACCTCTGTATTCCCAGCACCTCATTCCAAACTCTTAACTCCACTTCTGCCCTCAGACTTTGCCTCCTGGTAGACCTCAGCCCCCCACTCATACACCCCTCTCACCACCACAGCCGTTCTGCATCTTCATCGCCACACGGCTCTCAGCCCCGATCTCCTCTCCTTGCCAGCATCAGTCTCCTTGTCTTTCTGTCATAGGTAGGACAGCTCCTCTCAGCTTGATTTCCACTTTCCACTCCTCTTTCTTGAGAAAAGAGAGCAGGAAATCAGGAAACTTCTCCTGTTGGCTCAAAGTTTCCAGATTTCTACTTTGCTTAGACTGGGTTGTGCCCAAGGTAGACAAAATATTCAGTGGATTTGGGTAGCAAATTCTAAGGCACCTCTTCTGAGTACTGTACGCAGTACTATATTGGTTTTATTTTCAGAAAGTTATCAGTTGGCCGGCTCTGGATTACCCCAGGGATAACAGAAGGCACCTGCTTGACACAAATGATATCTGCCAGATTTCAGTTTGCAAAGCCAAACGCTGAGAGGACATGAGACAAATCCAAAGAGACAGTCACCAGAGATCTTTAACAAGGGAAAAATAAGATACATTTCCCTAGCCTGCTTTTCAAAAATACCTGAACAGTTTTGGCTGACATTTTCTAAAAGCAGACTTCAAAAGCAGACGTCGCATATGGAATATTTTAGTCTAAAAACTTAGAAGACCGAAGTTACAAGCAGTCGATTCTCCCCTAAAATGGAAGGGACGAGGCAGTCGTAAGAACAGGCAGTGCTACCAGCTTACCTGGGTGTCAGCAAACTGCAAACAAGACTGGACTTTGTGAAATACAAACTTGCAACCCAAGACATTCCTGAAAGGCCAGGGCAAGCTCATTCCCCAGAAAAGCTGTAAATGGCATTCCTGTTATGACTAACATCATGTGCTGAACCAAACGAACGTGCCACAGGGAAGGAACGCGCTAACACTGCCTGCGTGGTGATTTGGCTTAGTTTTCTGTAGCGTGGATAGGTGCTGAGCCTTGCCTACAGTGGGACTTTGGCCACTGTTACAAAACTGTGTCTGCAGGAACGTTCCGGCATGCAGATTTACCCTTTGGCAAAAGTTTCCAGGTAGGCAAGGCTTCTCATATTGTTTGAAATTCCACATTAAAATCTATACACCCTACTTCCAGACTTAGATCTTGGTCCAGCCAAAATTAGAAGCCAAACTGAGCTATTTTCATAACCTGGAGAGGTTTGCACACAGGAGAGGTTTCCCTGGCAAGATGCTAACCAACAGCATTTTCAGCTGAATTTCATTTTGAAGGTTCACACAACAGCTATAGAAGTGATGAAAGCTGAGAAACGTGAGGTGTTTAGTAAGCAGCTCCAGGCACATCTTCGTGCAGGCTATTTAAGAGTTACCTCCCTAAAAGATACATTGGAATTCAGAATTAATTCAGGGTACAATAAACTAGTATCCAAACCCCTGAACAGTCAAGAATTCAATTAAAACTTCCCACCACTGCTGTCCACAGCTAAGGGGTAAAGGAGTAGATATATTTTGGCTCTACGGATGTTTTAATCTTTGTTTTGTCTAACCTGGTGCTAAGCAGGGTCACACAAGTTAGCTCTCATGGTACCATTTTCTAATGATAACAGAGCTGCAGCACAGCTCTCAAATAGTTGTAACTCAGAGCTGGCTGGCATAGATTCAGTCCAGGAATTAAAATTTAGAAACCTGGATTTAATACTCTGAGGAAGAAGAAAAGCAGCCAGGCTACCTATTTCCTTGCTTAACCATCAGCAATCAGCTGGGAAGTGAGATGGACAGGGATCCTCCACCAGAGCTAAAAGGAATAGCCTTCTCTCCTCCCCACGGCACACTTCACACAGGAGTTTCAGAACTGCTTGTTCTTACAGCAAATGGGGGTTCCTCATCACCATGTGACATACATAATCTTAAAAATTAGGAATTATTTGTTGCTCAAGCTGACACAGTACATCACTTACCAAACTGATAACGATAACACTGAGATGCAACAGGACACCCTGAGGTCTGAGCTGGAGAGATGTAGCTGCTGGATGGATGCTGCATTACAGGGTAAAACCTGCAGGGGCTGGGTGACTGGAGGTCTGCATCTGCTTGTGAAGGACACCCTCCTAATTGCCCGATAACCGTTAGAGATGGTGCTGTGTGGGATCAACCCCATTCTCCTTGAAGAAAGCAGAAGCTGGATAAGCCTCTCTTGGTTTGGTCTTTGAGTTAGCTCTGCTCCTCAGAAGGATTCACTGGGGGCCTATTATGAACTGAGAAAGAGGGTGAAAAGTGTTTGATGTGCTAAACAAACACTACCAGCCAGAGACACACATTATTTAGGAAAGGGACACATTTTCAGAACAACTCCTCTGACTGAACTGGCTAGGAAGTACAAGGGTACCATGTATCTTCCAGTTTTGAGAGCTGCATTACAAACCACCTCTGTATTTACGGTGAATCACAGCCCATTAAGGTCATTTCAGTGCACGAAGAACCAAAAGCACACACCTCTAAATATTTATAAGTGAGGTTCTCCCTCCAGGTTCCTTTGCAGCAGCCACTTCCAACGCTGGCTCTCCAAATGGCCAGCTCTTCCAGCAGGCTGGTTTCCTGCACATCCATCTGCTCGTTCTGTTCAGACAAAGGCATCTCTCCTGCTAGCCCGGTGGTACTGACTTCTCTCTGCCACGTGCAGAGTTACAGCAGTGCCTTGCAGAGTCTTTGCTGTGAAAATGAGTCACAGAAAGAACCCAGCTGGATATCTGGAAGCCCATTTGGGCTTATGAATTAGCAGGATTTGGGATACTTTATAACCAATCCATGAAGCAAGTCCAATATGGAATTATGGAGTTAATATGCACAGTCTGACTGCCTGTCATTTTCAGGGTAATTTCTGTGACTATAGCTGGAAATACCAAGTAGTAAACAAACAGAGACCAAAAATCCCCCAGCTAGTTGCTCTGCAAGGCATTTCCCCAGGACGTGAAAGGCCGGAGCAGATTGGCAGCATGCAGAAAGCTACTGCCACTGCTGTACCTGCTACTGGTCAGCAGACAAACAAAGCAATCCAGTTTCCAGGGCTGTGAAGCCAGCAGTAAATTTACACAGCCATCTTTTTAATAGCTTTGAAAAATAAAGGAAAACAAAGCACAGTCATTTCAAGCTCCATTAGAAACAGAGCGAGAAAAATCAATGTTTGACAAATAGGAGGGGACAAATTCTGGATAAGGAAACGCTACGAAGCTTTTAGAAAGCTGTGTTTTTTAACTGGTGACCGAACAGCCAGATGCCTTTGTAATACCTATGCACTCCAGTGTCAGAATCTGTTAAAATTCATAGGAAGTCCCTCATTAAAGTAAATGGGACAAAGATCTGATTTGGAAGTGCTGTGTCACTTAACCAAACTCAGCAGCAGCGGGGCTGGATCTGCAGTCCTTGCCCAGCACATCTGTACTGTGAATTCTTCACTGACAGAAGGCCATTTGTGGTCGGTTCCAGTTTGCTATTTAAGCTGTAAATGCATGCCTGGGTGAGGGATGCATTCTGTCCGTGTTAACTGATCAAAGGCTCAGACTAATTTAGGTTGGAAGGAATCTCTGGGGGTCAACTAAGCTGTCCTCCTGCCCATGAAATGTAAAGCGAGCTACAGAGAGGGTGCAGGGGAAAGGGACCAAGAACTAACCTATTCCTGATCCAGCATCGTACCCTCCCAGCAACAGTTACCATGCAAAAAATGAAGTCTGGCTGTTCATTGGTGACATCTGAACTGTGACTGCTTGGGTTTCCAGGAGCAGTGAGTCTCCTCCTTGCCAGAGACACACTGAGTAACACCACCTGCCATGGGAAGTTTCTCTCCATGCCCTGGCACTTGGCACTGCCTGCCCCTGAACAGATCCTTGCATAGCATCCTGCCTTCCTTCCCCTTCCCTCCTCCCCAAACCATGTCATTCCCAGAGTTGCCTTGGATTGTGGCACCAGAAGAGCTTGTGAATAGAACAGCTTTCTTCATTCCCCTTAAGACTGTGGCTGCAGCATGTCCTTTTCTCACCAGTGTTCCCCAAAACCTTTCTTAACACCCAGTAAGCTTAAAAAAAATTAGCCCAGAGTGCACACTACCGTCAGCCCCAGAGGCACATCCAGCATGCCATCCACCCTAGCCCCGGCATTCCTGCCTCCCATTCAAGCTCACTGCCAGCAAGGGTGTTTCTGGTGCCTAAGTGAGGACAAATGTGGCTGTAAGGCATGTCTCAAGGATCTCCCCATTGCTCCACACCTGTGGGAAACTCACTTTGGGGATTTTTGTCAGCTCCTTGACATTTTGCAGCAATTGTCCTTGGGCACAGAGCCCTCAGCAGGCTGTTTCTTTACCACTATTTACCTTTTCCTTTGGGAAGTCAGCAGACCTGACCTCTGGTGCTGAACTTTTGCTGCAATACTTTGCAAAAAGCACGCAGCCTAGCACATTTTTTTTTACCCTGTGCTTTAGCTCCAGGTGCCTCTGGTTTACTAACAGTGCATTCCAAGGGAGCACAGACCCCGGGTGCTTCCTACAGCACAACTCCACACAGGACCTCCTGCCTAAGAGGCAATACGTTATGTTTGTAAGTCCAGCACCTTTGGATTATTAACCCCAATACAAAATTTGGGCTAATTTAATTCCCCCGATAACTATTCCTTGACCATCTTTTTTGTACTTTTCTGAGCCCTAGTCCTCAGCTGAGAGGTGATTTTACTACAGTCACTACTGTGGGATCATGTGGAGCTCCAGAGGGATGTTTACGTTCTCGCTTTCCCCCGTCAGCCCCCCAGAACAAACACAATCCCATCAGCTTGAAACGCCAGAAATAGAGGCATGGGCATTTAAACTGTGAACAATCAGATTTGGCAAACAATCTATAGGACTGCACCCGTTCTGAATCACGAGCCTGAGTCACTTCCCTCACCTAGGCTGCTCTCCTCGCCCGCGCGGATGCGGGAGCAGAAAGGCAGCAGTAACACTCCCGGCTCTGTCTCTCTCCCCTGCAGCCTGCCTGCTCCAGGCCGAGCTGGTCAACTACGAGCGCGTCAAGGAGTACTGCCTCAAGGTGCTGCAGAAAGAAGGAGAGAACTTCAAAGCACTCTACCGGTCGGGCGTCGCATTTTACCACCTGGGAGACTACAACAAGGCACTCTACTACTTGAAAGAGGCAAGATCCCGCCAGCCAACAGGTACGGGGAGCAGGAGCCTGACCCAGTGCTGAGCGCTTGCACGTTTCTTTTCACAAGACTTTGTCCCTGATTTGTTTTCATTGATTACTACGGGGATGAGCATGACCATACCCTTAGTCCTGCTTCCCATCAGGACTCTCCCCTAGGGCAGCAGGTTTGCAGTGACATTGCCTTAAGGCATTATCTGTTAACTAAATATTGCAGAGGCTGCAGCACGAGCTGGGTGCTATCAGTGCTGCTGGAATCCTGTCTGTGGGGAAGGGATCCTGCCTCTTTCCCCTCCCATCTTATTTTTGGAGAAGGAAGCAGGATGAGGAGGAGTGCATCCCAACCATTAAACCATTATATTTTCTGGATCTGAGATATTTTTCCGCTTAGCAAAACAAGTAGACTGTTTGTAGTCCTCAACAGCCATGGCTTCCACCATATCAGTAAAGGAATAGTATCTTTCTCTGATAAGACAGACATAAACTCACAAAGCACTGAACAGGATGCTTCAATTTGTGCCACGAAGGCAGTCACATGCCTTGTTCAAGTACCTGCCATCCATATGGCAAAAACAAAAAGAATTCACTTCAGGCAGCAAAGACATTGTGTGTGCAAACAACTTAGCCCGGTCAGAGCAACCGCCTTCCTGCTAACCCACCCCAACTCGGAGGGCAGGTAAAAGGCCACAATGCAGAGACAGTGCTTTGATTTTTTCGAAAAATACTGCCTGATGAGATAAAATCCACACAGTTGTTCAACCCATTCCTGCTAAAGGAACTTTGCAATACATGCAGAAAAATTAAAGGGCTGTGAGAAAGCCAGACAAAAGCCACACACAAGGGGAACCCCACAGAGCAGCTCTTCCACCTGCACCTGTGTGTGGAGGGAGAGAGAAAGCTGGGCACAAAACAGGAGCAAACACAGTGGGGTTGGCGTGCCTCAAGCTAGAGGAGGTGAGGGAGGTGGCCAGAGTGTGTAGTGTCCTGTAGGCACTGGGCTCCTGTGGTGTCAGCGCCCCGGGATCGTGCTCTGCTCCCAGCTCCCATACAGGCAGCCGGTCCCATCTGCTGTGCCTGGCCCCGGGCAGTCTGACAGCACAGCTGCATGCCCCGCACTCGCTGAGCAAATGTGCCTAAAAGCTCAGTTCAGCCTGTTCAGCTTACAGTGTGCCCTTCTGCTTCCAGCCTGTGCCAGAACCAGGGAATGGCGAGACCTATACAGAGAAAAATAGTCAGAGGAAAATAAGGAAATATCTTAACCTTGGGCTTCTGATGAGGCTCAGATGCGAAAAAGTCCTTTTAGCTGAACCACTTTGCTTCTATTTTTAAAATATGTATTTTTATGCTTTTTTCCCCCCCTCTCCCTCAGTGATACTATTTATTTGGTATCTCTCATTCCTTCCTGAAATAAATACTAATGTATTCAACAGCAAAAGCTTCAAACACTGCTGCTTACTGCAAAGACATACCAGAAACTGTCCCCAAAGGCCCTTAATGTATACAAAAAAAACAATTCTGGCCTTCAGCTCTACATCAGAGACTCCTCTCTATTATTGTTAGACCATCCAAGGCCATTGTTGCACTGTTTTATTTATGATTATTGAGATCTTAAGGAAAGAAATGAATGCATGCAGCAAGAAAGGATGCAGCTGCTAAAACACAGCAGTAGGAATCAGGTGACACCAGCAAGAATTATTTTGTGACCTGGAATAACTCAGTGTCTCCATCTGCAAAATGCGATTGTTTTCTGTTATCTAAGGTTTTGCTAGGCTCACTGGTAAAGCACTAAGTTATTATTACAGTCATGCTCTGCCTTTTTTCCCCTTCTCTAAAAAGGAATGTTTTTGGCTCAAATCACTAGCTGTCTCTTTGCTAGCGGGAATTTCAAGTGGTAAAGAGGAATTAGTTAGGAAAGGGGCTTACAGCTCTACAGGTTTGTCACCACAACACATTCCTTATGGCCATTATGGCTGTCTTTCAACAGCGAGGGCAGGGTCTGGCCCCAATTCTTCTACTTACCTCCAAACAAAAACAACACAAAATCACAAAAGCAGGTGGAAATAATGCAAGATAACTGTATAGCACTCCTTACTGAGCAGGATCTTAGAAAGGAAGAGGAAAGCCACTGCTAAGCTTCCCACACTGCACGGAAGGAGCTGGCCTCCTGAATTCCCAGTCCTCAGGAGTAAGACCCAGACCATGGTGCCTGCCCAGCAGATGAACAGCCAGGCTCTGAAGCCACTGGGAGAAGCAGGAACAGCCCTCAGCACAGCAGGAGGCCACAGGAACACTCAAAAGAGCCAGGAGACACATTCCTTTGCAGCACTGCCAGCATCACTTACTGAGCTGTCCTTACCTGCCATTCCCACATCAGCACTTCCTCGCTGAGGGACCAGAGCCTTCTGCTCATTAACATTTAGCTTTGAAATACTTCTGCAGACAGAGCTGTGGTGGCACAATGTCATTTTATGGAAAAGACAGGGCTCCTTCCACAAGCAAAGTGCTACTCACCACTCCTCTCTGGTGAAGCAGCAGCCCTCAAAGAGAAGACCCCACATGCCCAAACCTGCCGGGAGATTTTTTGCTAACTTGCAATCAGAGTTTCTCCCGCCCCCTGTCAGCTGCACCTTGTTTTGCCCCTGGCTCCCCGTGCATGTGGCAATCTCCCAGGTGAGTGAAGCCGTGCCATCAGCAGCTCACTGCCTCACCCTCAGGCCCAAGGCAGCTGGCAGCCTTCTGCTGCCCCACTCGCACGGAGACCCACCTCCTCCTCCTCTGTCACCATGCACACAGTCCCTGCAGGCCCAGGCAGGTGCAGTTTCCTACCATGCCTCCTCAGTTACTGCTTGTCACCTGCACTGGGCAATCCTCCGACGTGTGAAACGCAGCTGCAAGGACATTCACCTGTGCTGCAGCACATCAGGTGCTTGGAGGTATGGAGCAGGAAGATCAAAAATTCAGAGCCAACCCCTCAGCTGAGTTGCTCCACTCCTGGAGGCTGTGCAGCTGAAACCATTTCTGTTAGAAAAGGTTCCTTCAAAATTCATTAGGCTGGTTTGAAATGCTAGTGCATTACCAGTTCTGGATGCTGGTGCTCCTTGTCTAACACAAGTGAGAGCAGAACTCCTCGATTCACTAAAAATCCCCCAGATGGGGCAAGTATCTTAATCACTGACTGCCACCCCCTGAAGGGACTAGGATGATGCTACTGAACCTGCAGAAGACTTAGCAGGGAGACCTACCTCACCAGGGACAGCTTGGGAAGTGACAGCAGCATTGCTACAACGTGTTTGTGCAGAGCTCTGTGTGAAGGGAAGCTGAACCATCTCCCATTGCCTCCACTCCAGCTGATGGCACAACAGAGGCCTCCCCTTCTCATTTTTACAGGGAACTCTGCACCCACAGCTCCTCTGGTGGGGGCAATACCTGTGCTTGCTAGCAGTGGGCACGTGACCAGCAATATACTCATCTTTTGGAAGCCCAGGCACCTACTTAATAGCTGGTGTGGGGCAATTTGGATGAGGAGGAGGTGAAATTGCTCCCTGACTGTGGGCAGAATGGATTGCTGTGTGCATCAGATTGATTTTTGAATCTGTAATAACTTATAATGGACAAAGCTGGCCATGGCTGGCCTTCTGAGCAAGGCTGTGAGCAAAGAACCATTTTAAAATTAATAAATAAATGAAAGCAGTTATTTTTTTATGCTTGTTTGCTTCTGATACCACATGGCGTTTCCCACCATGTGGACACCGTGCTGGTGGGAAGTTGCCCTTGTGAAAGTAAATCAACACAATTTGAGAAAGGGGTGGCCATGGCTGCAGAAGCACGGGGTCTGTCTGGAGACGCACACTCATTGTGCACATCAGCCTGTGCCTCAGGATGAACGGGCTCCCTCCCTGCAAGGGCCTGGAGGTAAAGCAAAATTCACGTGTTGTGTGCACTGTGTTAGTGCACTGAAATACTGGAAAGAAGAAGAGGGCTGAGCTTGCTGCCTGCATAGGATTGGGGTCTCACAGCTCTGTGCAGAGATGAAACGTGGTTCTCTGCCCCCAGGAACTTTGTTAGGATAGATAAGGCACTGTGCAGCATACAGTGAATGACAAAAATGCAGATACAGTGTCATTGTGGAAGGACTCCGAAACGTGAAACTTAAAGAGAGCGAGGTTACTGAAAGAACATGAACAGTGCTCTTTCCACATCAGCTCATCACAGAAAATTGTGAGAAGAGTGAAATAGGCTGTAAAATGAATAGGAAGATGAAAAAGAAGAGCATGTCTGTAGAGAAGGTGCCTTTAGAGTCTTGTATCCAAGCACTGAGGGCAGGGAAACTAGGGGAGATGTTGTTCCAGAGGAACAGGCAGGGATGAACTAGATGGCTTCACCTGTGTGAATTCAACTGTGGTGACCAAGAATAGCCAAAGAGAAGGTAAAAACTGAGGCAAGATCATGAGCAACAGGGATGATGAGCCCAAATCAGAGCAGGTTCACCAAAACCAAAGCAGCAGGGTTTGGTTCAGAGCCGCCTCCCACTGGGGCTGTTCCTGCAGGCAGGACCCGGAGGTGCACCACGGATGAAAGGTGCGGTGTGTCCATCTTTCCAGGGAGTTGTAACCACTGTGCCTGTGTCTGTGTGCTCTTTCCCTGCAGATACCAATGTCATACGATATATCCAGCTGACAGAGATGAAGCTCAGCAGATGTTCCCAGAGAGAGAAGGAAGCCTTGTGAAAATGAAGCTGCTTCAGCTGAAGTGCCCAAAGGGGAACATTTCCTTCCTAGAAGCCCATTTGGTGGATTTTCCTGTTTGCTCTGCCTCATCCCCATCTCCTCATCCATCCACTCTCCCTCGCTCTTCATTGAATCCTGGTTTTGAAAAAAAAAAGACTCAGACACTGGATATGGCTGCGGCAATTACCATTGCCAACCATGGTAATCCCCCTTCCCCATGGCAGGAGAGCACAATGGCTACAGCCAGCCTCGTTCCAAGGCAGTGTCACACACCTGGAGCAGGCAGCGCTGGGGGACCCCTCTGGTCCTGAGCTGCCTGCTTACAACCCGTAGGGAAGCAACCCCCAGACAACTACTTCCTGGCCAGGCAAGCTGGAGACAAGCAGTTTCCACTCCGGGTGATCACTGGAGCTTAGAAGAGCCAAGAAACCAAGAGAGCCACTGGTCATTTCACAGGGGAAAGCAAATGCCTTTTCACCATCAGCTCCCCCTGCCTGCTTCTCCAGTGTGTGCTACCAGTCTCCAGTGAGAGCTCACATGCTCCCAGTCCAACGCCAGTGAAACTGTTTCTAAACATCCTCTTAACGAAAGCACAGAGCACCCTACGATACCCCCGAAGCTGTCCCAGTACCGGAGGAGAAGGCTGTGGGGTACCACAGAAGGCTGAACAGACTGTGAAAGCGTGGTGTACAGTATGAGGGAAAAACTGTGAAATAATTCATTAAAGGCAAATAAAAATTATTAATAGGCAACAAGTCCAGCCATTGCTTTTAGAAGGGACCTGTGGGTTCCCCGTATCCAGACAGGCAACATTGTCTAGTGGGGGCAGCATAGGGTGGGGAACAGAGACGTCTCCATTCGTGTATGGGCTCTGCCATGCCTTGCTGTGTGCTCTTGGGCAAGTCACTTAGCCTCTCTGTGCCTCGGTTTCCCCATCTGTACACTGGGGATAATAATACTTCCCTACCTCGCAGGGGTGTTGTGAGGATTTACCAGTTAATGTCTGTAAGTACCAGTACAGTGATGTACAGTGCAAAGTATTATTAGTACATTGGATTGAGGTCTCGATTCTCCCACCTCGTGTTGGTGCTTCCTGTGTCCTGTTTTCTTCTTTTTTTAGCAGAACGTGGTGCTGACAAACAGGGCAGGACCAACAGCTTTGGAGGCTATTTTAGCAGCCCATACAGCCTTTTAGACCTACTGCAGCAGTGTGATCAGTTCTGAGTGCTCGGGCTCCTTGGCTCAAGGATCCTTTTCTGGACCTGCCAGAAATGGGATCAGTAAGTGCCACAAACACATCTCCAATGGCCCACAGGGAACTGCTCCCAGCTGCAGGGTGAACATGTGTGCTTCTCATCCCACGGTGGTCAGTGTGAAGTTCATTGTACCCATAGTTCAATCAGCTCTTCTGGATGAGATGTGCAGACTGAAACACAGAAAGCTGAACATGCAAAGTTCAGCTGAGTGCTGTGTGCTCTGGTCCCAGCAGCTATGACATCCAAATTCCTGCTGTGGTACCTTGCCACAATTTTTTCCAGCCAAAAGTTGGAAGAGTTGATAGAGAAACATCAAGGGAAAAGGCAAATCTTTATCATTGTCTCAGAAAAAAAAAAAGTGAATTTGTATTATTCACTCCCCATGTATTATATCACTCCTCTAGAAGTGACCTGAGGGTTCATCCTGCAGGCCATGCAAGGGGAGAGGACACCACCTACACAGTCTCTGTCCCAGGAACGTGCAGGTGAGCAGAGGCAGGCTTGTCACTCATGGCTGTAAAATAAGAGGAAAGGCATCTTCCAGTCATTGGAGATGGAGGTCCATGGCCCTGTCACTTTGTCTGGAAACAGTTTTAGCCCTTGAAATGGCTTCAATGGCGTACTGTCACCACGTCAGTCCCAAGCTTATGTTAGTATAAAGGCTGCACAGCACACTCCAAAGTACAGACTCCTCAGTTCTCTGCCACTTTTTCTCCAGAACTATCATAAAGTATGTGAGAAAGTAGGAAATTTGTGAACGTGCATAAGAAAAAGATCTCCAAGAGTCTCCAGGTGCTACACAAGAAGCTACTTTCTTCAGGAAACGGTTGTCCCTATGTACCTTGACACTTGGTACCTCCAACCAGTGCACACACACCAGAAGCTAAAAGAAGGAAGTCAACAGAAAGAAAACAGAGTCAGGGACTGTTTTGCCAGCTATGTAGCATCTGTGTGCTTCCACATAACACAGAGCTTGAGAGAAACATGCACAAAGCTCCGTGTGGTAGCCCTGTGCATGACAAGGAGGGATAGAGCAGCACTACCACCAAGGCCACAGAGCTCCTGGGGACTGTGCTCTCCCCACAGCGGCCAGCTCTGCCTTGTAGAGTTTTTTCCAGTGAGCAGTCCTTACCAGCCAGCTGATGATGTATGGACAGGAGCCACCCAACCCCACAAAAGTTTCCTACCCACAGCTGTAGGGAGTTGGTGACACCATGAACAGACAACCTCTGTTGAAGGTGGCAATGTCTAATACAAGTTGATGGTATTTTTATGTTGAGCAATCAAATGGCAATGTAGGAATACAAATCCCCAAAGCCAAAACAAGCAAACAATGCTCCAGCTCAGCCAGGTGGCATATGCATATGTCCTCATCATGCAGTACATGGGGGAATGGACACAGGCCCCTCCAAGTACCCAGCAGGATTAAAATGTGTCCAGTGCAATGGGAAATGAGTCCATACACCCATCACATGTGAAAACAGCAGGAACAAAATGACATGGCAGATGCCTGGCTGAGCAGGAGGAAAGCGGAGAGCAAGCAAGAACTGAGGCTGAAATGAGAGAGGGCTGAGCTGATCATGAGATGCAAACTACAAGCCAAACCCAGGTTCATGGGCAGAATGAGAATGAAACTATTAAACAAAAAACAAAAACAAACAAAACAAAACAGAAAAACTACCAAAGGCTTAGCCACATTATTTGCAGTTAATAACAGGACCCAGTTTTAATTGGCAGGATACAGAGCAGGAAAAAGGACAGTAAGATTAGAGGTGATTTTCCAGCTGGAGGGGGCAATGAAGGGGGAGGCTTCCTTCCTCCAGCAAAATCATTTTTGAAACTGTGAGAAGACAAACATATGCTGGCTGCAGAATTTTTCCAAATACGTGTTAACCACACTGCAGTTGGAAAAAGTGGCCTGGACAGGGCAGAAGCCTTTGTTTAAATTAAGAAGAGGGTATGACTGGTTTTCAGGATTGATGGGAAGGCAAAGGTCTGGCTGTTCTGGCTTGCTGGAGAACCCAGGTGCCTGTAAAATGAAAATGAAGATCTTGAGCAGTGTATCTCCATTTCACTTTCCCAGAATTTCTTTGCAAGTTTCACCTGTGTGATTGATGTCCCCAAAATTCAGCCCAGCTGACTACAAAGTGGTTGTGTTCTTGTGGCAGTTTATGTGAGATCTCCAGAGGCTTTGTCTGCCTTGTTTTCTTTATGCTGAATCCCTTGATTGTACCCTCTCTCTTCTATTTCTGAGGGCAGGAGAAGGGAAGGGAATGGGTATGTGTGGGCAATGGGAATTCACACCAAATCCACACAGGACCTGCTGACTACCCCGCTTCTCTGCCTGTTTACTCAGCTTTGCTCCTGCATCCTGAAGCACTGATGTTCCTCCCGAGCTGCTTCTGTGAAGCTCCGTGCAGTGGTTGGGAGGCTCGGGCAGGGGTTATTTTATTTATTTAAATAAAGAGGCACAGTGGTAGGCCAGTATGCCACCCAGATGGGATGCTTGGGAGGGTGCAGTTAATTATAAGGTTCCTTAATACTATTCATGGATTTGCATAACCAATTAGTAGGACTTTGTATCACTGCAGCTGGTACGAGAAGGTTTCCAGAGGTTGTTCTGAGCGGATCTTTGATGAGCTCCTCAGCTGCTAAATGCTGCAGGCCGTGCTGCCACACCGGCAGCCTCCCTGCTGCCTCAGTGAAGGTGACGAAAAGGCAAGCCGCCCTCCTGGCTGCACGAGTCCTCCCCCAGCTACAGCTTAGGGAAGGTACATTCATAGATAGCAGATAAGAACATGAGAGGAAACCTGTGTTAACACACGACTTTGAGGCAGTTAGCAGCCTGTGAGGCGGAAGGGGGTGTGAGTGGTCCCACAGGTGCAGGGAGGGGATAAGACTCTTTTTTTGCATCTCAGAGACCGACCTCCCTTTGTCACAGCGAGGGGCCAGCTCAAACTCGTTCAGCTCGGAAGGCTGTGCCTGCAGCAACTGTTTCCAGCAGTGGTTATGGTGGGGAATCAGGAAACAAATAGATTGCGTGGTGCCCAGGAAATTGCCTTGCTACCCTCGCTTCATGCCCACTCATTATCCTATGGAAAACATCTGTTGCGTTACATGGACAGATAAGAGAGCAAGGGGGAGGAGAGGAAATGAGGCAGGATGGAAAGAAACACAATATGCCTTTTTCTCTTTATTCTTAGGACAACTGTATAGCAGCAAACTCACTGAAAAAATTCCCAAATCTTTTTCACCTGCTGATACAGGGAACACTTCAACAAATTGTCCCTGCCGCCAGAAATGGGGAGCAGAAGAAATCCCTTCCAAATTTCCCCCTCCACTCTGCAACGAGCAGCACATGCCGGGGCTCACTCTGACAGAATTAGGTAGCTAAATTATTAGTGGTATTAGGTGGGGAAAAATGCTGTGGCTGTAGCTGTGAGCCCCATGTGCTGCGCTATCCAGCCACGGCAGGGGAGAAGGAAGCCGCGCTGCCAGAGAGGCTGGCTTCACAGGCCCGACCCACAGCCTTTCTCCTTCCTTCATCGCCAGCCAAGTTTTATAAATAGCGTCAGTCCTGCCATAACTAACTTCCACAACCTCTGCTTCCTTCCAGAGGGCTCCCCTTCGCTCCCTTTGCCTGCCGGGGCCTGTGAACCCCTGCCAGCTGGTAGCGGCCCGCCGCTGGTGAGGAAATCACCCGGAGCGCAGCCAGCTGGAGCTGGCGAGGGGATTCGGGGAGACGAAGGTGGACTTGGCTGGGACTGTGGAGCCCACATGAATCCTCATATGATTCGTGCCACCAGATTTTCCCTGATTGCCCGTGCTCTGAGGCCTGTCACACACACAGGCCTTTGTCCCACGCTTGGCTGGGACTCGGGGGCGTCACACGCCCTGACAAGAGCTCCCTGGTGCCCACCGCAGCCTGCAGCAGGGAGGGAAGATGAGCTGAAGGAAGGGTGAATCACCACTGTGCTCTCCTCATTACGCTGTTTTCCCCTCAGAGCTGGGCTAACAGAAGCATCTGAGCATATGTTCTCTTGTCTATTGTCAGGTCTACAAATCAAAACTGTGATTCATATGAAACTGTACATTTTCTGTACCAGGCCCCAGCTTACCTCAGTGCTGTCAAAGGCTCGGTGTTGACTGCTGTGAAATGCTGACATCCATAATGCAAACTATGGGCACCGAAGATGGCAGAAAAGCTTTACATAAACTCTGCCAAGAAAAAACAAAACAAAACAAAACAAAAAGCCTTATGAGGGAAAGGAAAAGACCTGCTTGTGTGTAACTGAAACTAGATTTAATATGAACACATCTCGTCCAACTACGTTGTTTCCATCACTTCTGGAGGCATTCCCCAGCCCATGTGTGTGGGGGCACAAGGTGGCTGTGGGTTCAGCCCTGCGGGCAGAGCTGCACAAGGCAGAGCGGGACCAGGCCTTGTGAGGCTGCCCAGCCCAGCACACCACATGGTATTTTCTAACCAAGCTGAACCAGCTTGACAGCCAGAAACATGCCCTTGACTCTTCTGTGTCTACAACTTTTTGTCTCACAAGCACTGAGCAGACACCAGGCAGCAGGAGACACCTCTTGCTGAGGGGTGGCAGCATCACGGACCCTCTGCTCTGCAGGGAGGACTGAGCCCAGCAGTCACCGCAACCAGATAAGGTCACTTTGTAAAATAAAAGGAGTATTTTTCAGGTAAATGGGGAAGCAACAAAAATCTCGAGCTGAAATGCCATCCTTGCAAAGTATTGCAGTGCAGGAAGTGTTATTGTTGCTTTGTTTTTGAAAGTCTTTCCCATGGGGGGTCATTGTTAGACATTAATATACAGTCACCGATGTTTCCCCACAGTAACTGCTTTTTCATGTCCCAAAGGCCTACTGAGTTCTAAACTGGACAATTCAATGTGAATAGCCTTAGTCTCATCCTCTCTCTTTCCCAGACAAGGGGAATTTTGGAACAGGAGACTCAGCAGGGAGTAAAACACAAAAGAGAGAGGAAATAGGGAAGCAAAATATGGTAGGAAAAAATAGAAAGATGGAGCTGGTAGCAAGTCTTCCTGCCTGTGACACACTTATCCGCCAAGCAGGACTTGGTCGTCCGGGTAACCAGACCCTACCATAGCTGAGACCCTGGAGTGAGACAGACTGACATCCTCCTGAGGACGTGAGTAGGAGACCTCAGGCAGCAGCTGTCTGCTGGATCTTTACATGCTGAACCCTTCAACTGGCCTTTGTATTGCTTTTCACATGGTGAACCAAGAGGCAGACCAACTGGCCTCATCTTATAATATTTTTAAACACATTGCAGCAGCACTGGGGTGAGGAGATATGCAAAAGGTTGTTATTTTAAAACCTGTATTGTCTGGAAGTGGTAACCCACTTTACTATCTGCTTTGAGGGCAGAATTGTTTGGGGACCTGAAACAAAACAAATGAGAGCTTTGTTTTTCAAGGCTGACAAGGAGTGTGATTTCCTTGATCACTTCAGCCCTCTTGCCAAAGTTGTCCATAAAGCTGGCTGCTGTTTCAGTCCACTGGGGAGAAAATTTTGCTGTGATTCAAACTCAGATGCAGTCCCACCTCGTTCCTCTTCTGCAGCAGTGTCTTCAACTCTTGAACTGGACAGAAGCTGTTGCCATGCTTATCATACTCAATTAAAAAGTGTTTTAGTAGTCGCTAGGAAAAGTACACGTCAGATTACCCAGAATGACACATATGGACTAAACGTTTCTTTGATTGTGCTTATCCAAGACAGCTGGGGGATTTACAGCAGGGAACATGAGGATTTTCACTTTCTTTAAGCAACAATGGGTGGTTTGTAGCCAGCCTGGCTGCCAGTTATTCTCATTCAGTTGATGGCAACCCAGAGAAGGCAGCTTAGCATAGCCTGGAGCAGGCTCAGGGGACAGTGACGGGCTGAAGGGACTGTGGCACCAGCTCCCCGAAAAGGGCTGACAGAGCTGCAGACTGCATCTTCCCTTCTCCTCACACAGTAGCAGTACTGTGCTACAGCAAATCTTTTGGCATCAGATAAAACCCAGCTGTCTCATACTGCCTCCTACAAACTCCTGGTTAGAAAAATGGCCACATGTAAATGGCATATTCCCTCACTCACAGAGCTGGTCTCCTGAATCTTGCTGGGGCTGAATTAGATCCAACCAACAGCTTGCTGACTTCAGTAGGTTATCTCTGAGGCTTGGCTGCCTGTTGGCAAGTTCTGAGCATTGACTCAGGGAGAAATCATAAGCCTGCTCCCTGAAATAAGCATAGCAAATCAAGCTGCAAGCCCTTTCACAGGGCTCTTTGAATCTCCGGTGAGGTCTGGATGCTCACAAAATGGGTCCAGAAGCTGTTGTCTGACACCAGCCCCACAAGCTGGAGGGGTGGCTCAGAAAGCCGGGGTGACCTCTGACTGTCATATCCCCATTGCTGACTGCCAATTTGTGACTCTCACAGGCTTTGGGACTACACAGCCATCCTGGGGTAGGAATAGGTCAATTTTTAGAGAAGTTCCTTAAATCCGAGTAGTAAGGGCTCTCCCTTATTTTCAGTGATCTGGGGCACCATTTCCTATTCCAACTGTTATTTGTCTAGAGACTGATGTGGAGCTCTAGGGATCCCAAATTTTTACATCTCTGTGATCCAATGTCAGATGGATTTAGTTAATTAATAAAGGAGGGCTCTCTAATAAAAGATGGAATCTCTCCTTTCACTCATCAGCAGTGTAATACAGATTCCCTGCAGGAATACCACAGCTCTGTTGATGATGTGCCAGCCAAGCCGTGTCATCTCACACCATAAAGCTGAGGCAATACTAACTCCGAAAATAGGACTGGAAAAGATCCTCAAGAGAGCATCTACATCACCCCATTGCCTTAAGGCAATTAGGTCAGATTAAGTTAATCTGCTCCTGAGAGATGTTTGTCTAACCTGTTCTTACAAGCCTCCTGTGACAGAATATCACAGCCTTCAGAGATGGAAAGTTAAGAGACTTTTTACTAAAGCTTAAAATAAGTCTCCTTTACAGTGACTTAAGCCAATTAATTCCCGTTTTAGCTACAGCAAATACAACAAATGTATATTTTCTCTTTGCAGAAATCTCAGATATTTGTGAAAGACTCTTCTCTAGAACTCTGATCTTGCAGCTTTTCTCAACATTTCTTCAACTGAGCAAGTTTTCTGGCTCTCTGGTTGTTCTCCTGGCTCGCCTCTGGATTTCTTCCAGGTGGTTTCCATCTTTACTGGAGTGTGGTGCTGAGAACAGGACAGTCCTCCAGGTGGGGCCTTCCAGCACAAGACAGAGCAGAAGCATTATTTCAGATGTCCTGTATACGATAGGCCCACTTATACATTCCAGTAGGAAGTTTTGCATTCCTTGCAGTAGCAAGACAACTTTGGCTCACATTCAAGTCTCACCCCAAACTTCTTTTCTTATCCAGGTTTAATTCTGTCTTTAACACTCCTTACTGAGTTGCATCCTATTTAACTGAGAAACAATTACATTCCAGGAAATGCCAAATCACGATTCTTTTTCCACACAATGAACAGATCTGTATCACTCTGTTTTTAAAGGACACACACAGTTAAAGTTTAAGACAAAGCAAAAGTGAGATTCTGTCATAAAGTACCAGCTTTTGGGCGGGGTGGGGAGAATCAATATACCTGTTCCACTTTTGTGGTATTGCTAAAAAGATCTGCACTTAAAAGGTCTCTGCAGTCCTTTAGCATTTAAGAAAAAACACTGCTTGATGGTTGAGAGTCACAGTCTGTTGGGAACATCATTTGCAGTTGTCTTTCACCAGGCAAAGCAACTCCTACTGCTCTTTTAGATCACCTACAGAGCCAGGCACATTCAGATCATCCAGATCAAGCAGGATTAATAAAGCCTGAGCAAAATGTGAGCATTTAAGAATGGCACAAAAATCCAAAGGAATTGTGTTGTTCTGCAAGTTCTTTCCCCAGCATCTCCCAGTCAGACAAAAGATAGACATTTTGGTCAAAATACTTCTAAGTTGAAGGCACAGGCAGTGAGACCCACAGGTCTGAACCCTCATCTCTCTTGGGTGTCTTGTTTTGTAAGCAGCTCATGCTCCTGACCACCAACAGAAAAACAGAAGGTGCTTGATAAAAGTGATGATTAAGGGTAAAAAGTGGAAAAATGGGAAAACATTAATCAACATTTGTACAGATTCCAGTGAAGATTATGCTCTGTATCCTCTTTTTTTTTTTTTTTTTTTTTTTTTCCTTCACAGATTTTTATTCCACACTAACAGGTAGTAAGTACCACAGACGTTTGCTTGCAGTTTGCTCGTTTTCAACAACAGAAAGTGTGTACAGCTGAAGACTGGGCTTGGTACTCTGTAGGATTTGAATACACACATTCCAGCATTTCCTTCTTTAAAAACACCAAAGAAATGTGCCATGCACAAGTCACAAGCAATGTGAGGTTTCTGAGGACTTTGATGTGATCTTAGTGATCTAATATCATTGAGTATCTTAAGCCCAAGGAAAAGCCAGCTTTGAATTGGACCTGATACTCTACAGGAGACCCATGGCAAGAACAAACTCAAACCTGTAGCTGCTTAGTTACATTGAACTGTGCTGTAGGATGCAGCCAGAACTCCCTATCCACTGCAGGCTCCATGCCTGGGTTCATGCTTAAAGGTGTTGATTGCTGAGTCCAGATCATTGCTTGCAGGGTTGTTAAGTCCCTGACTTTCCATATCAGTGATGCTATAAAGCCCACTATGTCAGATCTTCAGGCAAGCATGAGATCTAAGAGTACCTCTGAAGTGCAGGTGAAGTGGCCAGACACGAGCATGCATCATTCATCTTCACTGAACAACCTGCTGCACGTGCAAACTCAGCCTATCCTCATATGCCAGCTTGGTGGGGTTCAGCTTCTGCCCAGAGAGGAACTAATCCAAACACTCACCACTCTTGATGGCAGCAGTGAGCTAACGACATCTAAAAGATGTCAGGTTATCCATGGGAAGTCCATGGGACTTCAGCCTGAAAACGTGGGCTGGATGGCTCCAGACAAAAGCTGCCATTTCCATGTGGCATCCAAGGCAATAATGCTGATTATACCAGCTGAGGATCTGGCTCGTGACAACATTGCTGAAAAGTAGCTCAGAGGGGTAGAAAAACTGTGCAGAGAAGGTGGACTCTTCTCCTAGATCTGCAGCTCCCAGCATTACTTGGCCCATG